GTGTGTCTTTCAACGCCTGTTTTTCTAATTTCATAATCGCATAGCGCTGTGGTCGGTAGAAGATATTGCCATGCATATTATAATACTCTACTCATTTCGATTAATTTTGAAATTTGTATTGGATATTTTTATTCAGTCTACAAAGCAGTACAATTTACACGTAATAACAATACAAAAGTGCCACGCAAGTCAGTCTGGTATTGTTCCAAAAAGTAAGGTGATTTTAAAGGCCTGGTCGTCCCGGTGTGTCGTGTTTTATTTGTTGGGTCCCATGCGCTGGGTCCATGAAACACATTTTTTTTTAATTCGAAGGTATACTGCAACTGAATAACTGCAATTCTTTGGAGTGATGCTCTTTTGTTTCACCCTTTCCCATCGGATTCATGCTCTTCGACTGACACAGTGTTAACTGGTTCTGGCAAGCACCGGAACTAGCCGGGAATTGAATATAAGTTGTTTCAATCGCTTTTAATGGTGACACAGGTCTATGCACAGAATGACGTGACTACATATTTGCATTTCAAATTAATCACAAGGATTGCATGAAACGGTCAACACAATGTTACTTGAAGAAAATGTGTTTGCTAAGATCAATAATTACCAGAAATCACAATCAAAACGTCATTGCATGTCTTATGAACAAAATAAAACCGGCCAGCGGGTTCCATTGAATGGCGTCGAGCAAACTGCTACATAACGTGACCGTCTTCGGTTTCGAGCGTTTGGCATGCAAAGGGATGCGCAGATCTTATGATTCTATGATTCTCGAAAGCCGTGCATGTCACTCTTCTCATTATCGCGTTTCCGGAAGGTTGAATTTTAAAGAAGACGTATGAATTATTAGCTCAATAACACAAAACTAATCACTGATCAAGAGTTTTGCTTGGTACAAGTATGATATATAGCTGTTATCTAGAAGAAATCCAACTTACCATTGAATTTTGCAACATCACGTAGATAATTTAGTTGACACTGGTATTACCTGTGTTTTGGAAGGGCAACAACAACATCGACACTAACTGTGTAAATAATGTATTAAATAATTACTGGCAATTGAACGGAAAAAACAACAATTATTTTTCATATATTATTTTAACATAAGGTGTCTCGTCAATACATACATATAATGTTTGGTTTTTATGAAATTGTGCATCTCCATTTTTTACGAGTTCATTTGTACTGAAATTCGCCTAACGTTACATCCGGGTTCTTGTACATCAGCCACAGCAAAGACAACATATGTTCAATTGTATGGACGGTAAATATTAATTCAGCGTAATTATTTTCACGTTCAATCTTTACGTAGAGCGAGGTTAGTTATCGCTGTTTTTTTACTATTTTTACGTCTCCATTTGCGCACTTATAGACAAGCTAGTAATTTCAAATAATTTTCAAAATTATGTGTCGTTCTTGGTCATAGTTAAAGGTTTTGTGATAATAAAGTATTAGTTACTGTCGAGAATGTTACGAGTGTATCGCGTTTGAATAAACTGCCTATGATGTAGAAAAAGATCAAGAATAGAATAGAATAGAATAGAATAGAATAGAATAGAATAGAATAGAATAGAATAGAATAGAATAGAATAGAATAGAATAGAATAGAATAGAATAGAATAGAATAGAATAATCAACTGTGCACATGCCCAGATCGGGTAACAGTATTGCTCTAAACAATCCTAATGCTGAAAGAGTAACATGGCTACATACACTTGAACTACCAGTAATCTAAAATAAACGTTTTAGAATCGACTTTGTTCGAATAATACCGGTAATATAAATAAATACTAAATAAATAACAAGAAAATAATGTCATGTTTTGCTTTGCGAAGCGTAACAATGTGTTCCTTCCTTGTATTTATTGACATTAGTATGAAATTATTTCTTTTACTGGTATCTTTGCATGTAACACTTTCCATATTTATAGAGTGATCTTGTCTAACCTTCAAACAACACTCAATACACCATTTTCTAGAAAGACTCTTACTCCATAGAAGACTGCTTTTCCTGAACCAAATTGGCGACGCGATTATAACACACACACGAGACAACTCAAGCAACGTTGCGCTGCTAGTCGCGCGGCTTTATGGGTGTTATATAATATTGTATGGACCTATTCAATTTTCTAAATTGTTAGATGCTAGTTTTAATATCTGTTTGTTTATTGTTGTTATTGTGGGTTGTTTTGAAAGCCGCATTTGGTCAATGTTCTCACATAGTCCTATGAATAGGACAAGCTAAGACTCAAATAGGAATATTAAGGTCCATTCCTTAGAACGGACGTACATGGAGAGAGCTGGAAGCTGGAGACATGCGTGGACGAGTCTACAGGCTATCGTAATATTATACTTGCGTGCTTATACGATGACGATGCAAATAAGTCAATATATCTATGCCTATGCGTGTCACTCCCTTAACCATTGAAACACGCAACATGTATTTTTACAAATTTAACATGAACTCCGCCATTTCCATCTCCCAAGAGCTACGTTGAGTCTACCAGTCTGTGAACGTCATTAAAACACGCCGAGAATAAAAATAGAAAAAATGGAAGTAAATATATAAATGTTATTATCAGGTTGGCATCTTTCTCTTCAATTTGGATTGTTGGACCCATTTCAATAATAGACCCTACATGTTCTTTTAATGCCCGTCCAACAACGCCCTCTTTGCCTACTCGACGCCTTTCCGTTTGATCTGTGCCGAGATACCTAACAAACTATGGTAGTCGTCCTTATATAGTTGCGGCTGGTCATACAGGTAATGTTGCCCGTCGTCATCCGTCCGTTAGCAATTATCTTCTATCACCTTCTTCCTAAAAACTACCAGCTTAATTGCATTGATACTTGGTATGTATGTACCGTGGGTGAATCTCATATTTATTCATTCCGTGATAATATCTTCAATTGTCTATTTTTAGCAAACATTTTTGGCCTGTTTTGTTAAAAATATTGTTGACTTCTTCTTAAAATTGCATTGATACTTGATATAAGTTTGCCTTGGATGGACCTCTATTAGATTTGTCCCTTTTGTGACATTAGGGGAACACTAAAAGTAGGTTAATTCAGTAATCAAACAATCAAAAATATTTTTTATAACGACAGTATCTGTAAAAGTGTTACGCTATACGATATTTGTTTTTATTTAGTTGGTTTTAGTTTTAGTTGTATGAACCGCTATGCAAGTAATGCATGTGATGCAGTTAAGGTAGAGATGCAGTTTACCTGACAGGTATTTTAATTAGTTAATTAGGAAACCAAGATGACCTCCCTTGTCCACAAAAATATATATTTTCGGAAAGCTTATTGTATGAATTTTAAAATTTTTTTTGTATTTTTTATGGTCACTGTAGTTTGAAATATGCACAAAAATGTGCTTTTTTGGGGTCAAAAGTGATTTAAAAAAATTAGCTCCTAAACTATGCTTTTGTTCCCTGTCAAAATTAGTTTATGGGTACATCTGTTTACTGTGAAGAAAATGCCATCTTGAAAACTGTCTACCAGTTGCCAATTTTGCAGGGCAGCCGCCCAAATTTCACTACTTCAAGTTTATGCATATATTAACACCCAGGCTAGTTGTCTGTACGATTGCTGTAACACTGTTCAACCAAAAGCAATGCCCCAACGGCGTTTTGAAGATAAACACATTGTCAATCATTTGTGAAAATTTCAAAACAAAAGATCAAAGCGTCTAAGAGCTATTTTTTTTAAAGTTCTGAGATGTGCACTAAAAAGAAGCTGAGATAATTGCTAATTTGCATAACAATTCACTCAGTAAGAAGTTTGCTAATGCTCAAAATTAAAATGGCTATTATCGTTTTGTTTTTAGTTAAATGTAGTGCATAATATGGAGATCCCGTCATTTCTTTTTTTTCACCATATTTCTTTTTTATTATTTATGTACAGCCTTGCTAAATCTTGCTAAGCATTCAAAAGAGAGAATCTATCTATATTTTTAAATCGTTTTTTGAGTATGTTCCACTATTCACAATTCTACAAAATTTTAACAGTCTATAGCCAAGACTGTTTGAATGATAAAAAGCAAAATAAAATTCACTCCCAAGTGCTCACGAACCTGCATCTCTACCTTAATACATAACACGCGAACACAAGTTCAAAAATAGAACACCAAAATTTGCTCATGCGCAGTTTTGAATATAGTGTCTTTTGAATTAAATTCATTGCTGGAAGAATATCATGACTACATTATATTTCTCCTTCTATTCATATAAAATGTCATATATATGCCAATTAGTGTTCGTTTTGATGACATTTTCATGATGTTTTCGCAATTTTGTGTCTTAAAATGTAACTTCAGCCGAGACAAACGGCTATAACCTTAATATGTAACAATTCTCTGTAACACGGTGATCATAACTATTGTATCCTGTTCCCGCAATGAACTACCAAGCAGCACAATATGTGTTTCCTTCTTAACAATGGACGTTTATTTGATGCCTATGTATACTAGAATGTACCTATGTTAATCACTCCAAGCCAAAAAGAAACAAGTTAATTGATTAGTGATAAAGCGTTCTATGTGATGTAAGAACGGTTGTTCCCAATGATGAGAAAATTTGCATACTTTCCTTTCCCTGTTGTCGTCACCTGCGCACGCGCGAAAATTGAGTTTTAAGCGACGATAACAAAGCACACTAAAAACGCAAAGGTTCATGGGAGGACGCTTGTTTGTAAATAACAACACACTATGGCTGTCTGCGCACTCGCAGGTGACGACTCTCCCGCTTTAATATGCTGCGCTCTCGTTTTATATTTATTATGACAACTCCTGCCAACTAAATATTCTACTAGTATGTCATAATTTTGGTCCTCATGTTTATATCGTTTACTTATAATCTTATCAAACTAAATAATGTATGGCTTTAAATAAGGGATTACGGTAACATAATAAATGAAATTATTTTCCGAGTACATCTTCATATTCGTATCTATCCCACTACCTCACCATATAATTATGTTTGATTTGAAACACTGGGAAAAAGGTTGCATTAGTTTGGTTTATTTTGTTCGTATATATGTGACGGCGGCAGTGCTTGTCATGATGACTCACATTTACGATGTAAATTGACAGATTACTAGTGTTGCATCGAATATGTCAAAATAGGTAGTAAAAATTACGTATATATCTTCAATAGTTAACACTGTGATGTGATAGGTTTAGTAGTGTGAGTAGCAACTAACACCATCCAGGCGACCAAACGCCGCAATAATTCGCGGCATCACCGGCTAGCTCTGTTGTTTGGTTTACGGGCGGAATTAGTAGTTTACGATGTTCATCCAGTCGATCACGTAAATTCTGTACTATATCGGGATGTTGATCGGCAATGTTGTTTTTTTCCGATGGGTCAACTGATTGAAAATGAGAAAGTATATTGTTAGATAATTCAACTGTTATTCATTGGGTACTCAAACATTTTCACCCTTCACACAAACTTCCGGTTTTCGATGGGTGTAATCCCGAATCGGTTAAAATTATTTTCCATGTGGAAATATCTTAAGGGCTATCAAAGGTCAACGTCATTGTCATTTGTGTTGTGTAACATTGCAAAGAAAACAATCGCACTTTAAAGTGACGGTACTAGAATGTTAAAACATGTCGTAAATTGAAGTTATAGCTTTTCACATTGTTTAAATGAAGTATAATCTATGTAACTGGCATTTTGTTTACAATCATAAGAATATCAGTATGTTGAATAAATCTTCACATCATTTTATAATAATGACGAAAATGGTACTATTCTGTGTCACCATGAGCAGATTTAGAATACACACACCCGTTCGGGTCACCTGTGATAATAACATTTGCTGAATTTTCACATAGACGTAGAAATATTTCGCCATAGAAAAATAAATTTCTCAAATTACACGTGTTAAAATGCGAGTTGGTGCGATATAATCGTCGTGAATGCCAATACTACGTAACAAGGTAAATTACACCATTCTTACCTACGACATTGAACAAGTATTCCACGTTCAATGGGGGCGGTGCGTTTGCTTCTTGATCTGTACTTGGCAACCCGCTTGCTGGGGGGTCACCATAATTGTACCAACCATCTGAAATGAACATTAGTATGCGTATGATACTGTGGTTCTCATCTTTCTACAATTTGGATCCGATAAAGTTTCAATCGTTTATTTAATATATATTTACCTGTTAAACTGATATCGCGATATGGATACAATAAATCCGGATGTCCTGTAATCAGTTTATAGTCTCCGATCCTAAAAACATACCAACAATAATTCATGATGAGATTATATTCAACATGTGTGGTGCATTCTACCACACATTCGTGGGACGTGGATAACATACTAAAATAGAGCATTGTGTCGCAGGACATAGACACAATTGTAGAATAAATAAAATAAATAATTAAGCAAATGCGTAATTAAATATTAGTACGAACTGTTTTTTTCGAACTCATGCGCATTGCATAGATCAGCAAGTTACTGCAAGTGAAGCCATCATTTTCTTATTTAAATCACATTAAAACACTTCTCTGTAAACGTTTTAAAAAACATGTTCTTAAAACAATCGGGACACATTTGCATAAACTTAGTAACACTGAGTGTATTCCGCAAATTTCAGCAGGAAATACTGCTTCTCGCTACCTCAATTCAATTGAAATTTAAAGTTAAAGTAATTGGTAGTAAACTTGCTAACAACCTAAATCTAATGTCATTCACGTACTTACCAAGATAGTAATTTAATATTTTATTTTTGAAATGTTAAATTGCCACATACATTCATAAATATATCAGTTCTTACCTGATAGCAGCACCGGGGGATATCGGATCATCATCTATATTATAGACGTGTTCTTCCCTTGGTGATTTTTTACCTTTTGAGAATGTGTCCCACATATTCATTCCATCAAGTTCACACACTGTTAATATAATACAAAACAGATTATAGAATATTCAAGCGACGAAATATCGTACTTTAAAAAAATACGAAACATATTCTATTAAGAACGTACTAGAACCAGATTCAGCGCCTGCCAATGCAAGTATCGTTCTATGCAAATCAACCAAGTTCCATAACCTGAAATAGAAACACTTGTAAAATGAATCTAGTTTAACAGGGGAAGTCCAAACACTTTTAGGTATTTCAAAATAACAATACAAGAATTTCATCACCACCATTAACTCACTCATTATTTACATATCCAGTCTCCCGCAACATACTCCCATGGATAAGTGATGGAACTCGAGTGGCGCCCTCAAACAGCGTACCAGCAATACCCCGGAATGGGTAGTTAGACCCGGCTTGAGATGCTAACGCTCCATTCTGCGTAAATAAACACAAACAAACAAGAATAGAATAGAATAGAATAGAATAGAATAGAATAGAATAGAATAGAATAGAATAGAATAGAATAGAATAGAATAGATCAAAATTGAGTCTTAAATTTTCAAATTAATCACCAATAATAGAAAATTAGTTTGAATGGAAATTGGCCATGTGAGCTACAAACAAGGCCAATATGAATCTAAATTCTCCGATTTGAATATTTAGAAATTTGCGAAACACACTTACGTCACCAATGAACATCAATACCGTATCGTCCCACATTTCACGTGCCTTCAACGCATCTACCACACGACCAATTACATGGTCCATCAAAGATAACTTTCCTGAAAAAGTGAGAAAAATAATATGTTTTGCCGTTTTGTGCATTTTAACGAGACGAGAAATCATTATTACAATCGGTCAGTGGATGGATCTCTGCAATACTCAATAAAAGTGATGAAATATAGTAGGAAGGAAACTGTCCATGGTGACATTGTAAGCCTGTAAGTAGGCCATTGAGAAGAGATGTTTAGTTTATTGTGGGGGTCATATGACTTGTCTTAATTTTTAACACATGCATACCCTGAGTATCTCCAGTGTGACGTAATACAGGACAGATCGATATCGCAATAATTCGACTTTTATCACTCCGAGGATTCGCTTGTTTCGACTGTGAAATATGCATGAGATTGAGATATAAAATATTTAAAGGGCGGTGGTCTTCGCGCCACGCATGCGCGAGATATGGGTCTCATATGAACAAAGATGGCGATATTGACTGTTGCACAGACCAACAAGTACAACTTGAGACATTACCTACTCGGTAATTTCTTTGGTTAATGTATCGAAAAAGTCACAGACGGTAATTATTGCACGTCGCGCCACGATCGAAACTCATATTCTTGATTTTCATTAGACGAGAGCATTGAACAATTGTGTTGGCACGACGACCACCACCCTTTAATCACACGATATTTTAACGTCAGCAGTGAGTACCGCCGGATTAGCATCAAATCTTGCATACGACCCAGACTGGTACAGCTAGGTGGTTCTGATAAGTTTAGGGGTTTTGATAGTGTAGTGCCCCTAGATACAACTAAGTGTATATGCCACTCGCATTACATACCATAAAATTTCCTGGTTCGTTCATCTTCAATATCGCAATACAACGCTTCAAATGTATCTGGGATCTGAGGAAAACCAAACATTCAGAGAAAAGTGAGTATATACATACGGAATAATAACAATAGATGTGCGCACATATATTATGTCACTGGTGGAAGTAAAAATGACAATAAACACAACAGCACTGACACCAAAAACACTGAATGTTTCGAACTTGACTTTTAACATTGATATTATTTTCATCAATTATCGAGTAGCTAATCATTTATAATTAACAAAAAAAGTTGTAGGCGCAAGTAATCTCATTTAACCAGAATTGCCAATCGGGGTCTCATTGATAGCTCTTTATTTAATCGCAAAACTGATTCGTTCGGTGTTTTTTCAAACCAACCTATTATGTCGTTTTTTAGTTTGAAACTGCGAGAGTTAGCGAAATTACTTTCTATGATATTTTTTTGATTCAGTGAATTGGTTCTAATTATTATGCGCCACCTGGAGGCTAAATGGCTGAAAACTATTGTAAGCACTATTACACTCTCATAAAATCTTTCGATGAGCTAATTTCTCTGACCCGGACGTTTTGGTTTGTGGCGAAGAGCTATTGTTTAGATTCCGTTACTAAATGTTAGCCAGAAATGTCCGTTGACGCACCACGAGCTGAGATAGCAATGCGGGATTTTAACACTGTCAGTATTGACAGACGGACCCATACTCATACATATCTGCAGTAAGGAGATTCTAACAGGGGTAAATGTGGGGTGGGGTGGCTTTGTCAGTTCAGCCCAGCCCTCGAAGTTACACAAAACCTTGAATATATGTCGTAGTTCAGGATCAATTTCTTAACCCTAACTTTTCTGTAGAAAACCCGTAATTTTAACATTCATTTCAAAAACAGTGTATGGAAATTAAAAGTGCTTTAACTTTTAATATGTTAACAATGTTTATAGTGATAAGTCAAAGTTTGTGGGGAGGGGGAGCATCTATCTATCTGTTTCAGATCGCCTTTATCTGAATCCATACACAACAATACATTCGATAGGAAGTCAAAGCATCAGATTATCCATAACTTGATTTGCAATTCATTTATTCCATACATCATTACATCCAGTAACAGTTGTGACCTACGCTAATAAGCAGTCTAGGAGGAAATGTACATTCGGAATGATATTCATCCCCAGTAGTATTCACAAAGGTATTTCAGATATTGGTGCCTGCATTGCAAAAATTAGAGATACACAACAGTCCTTGCCTGGATGATCGGGTGTTCAAGCATGCAGACATATAACTATTACTACGAGCAGAATCCCTAATCAGCGTGGAAAAATCAACAATAGTACAAATGCAGTGCCTAAACCTTTTAGAAGTTATAGAGGTCCAGGGTCTATGGCGGATAGCATTGGAGTGTCGTTTGGATTGGATTGGGAAATGTGGTTAAGGGACAACTTGATCCTTGCTTCTTGCTCATATTAGTTTTTGGTGACCGACTAATCAATAATTTGGGAAGATAAGTAAATTTTTCTATTTTCTGTTAAAAGCTACACTTGTGAGTTGTCACCTTGTTATTATTTAAGAAAATTGTCTTTAACTTGATATAATAATAGATGGAATTATATATATCTTATCATTGAACTAGTTTAACCCATTGAATAATTTAGTTACCTCTAGATGCTTTGCAGGGATGTCCATTGTAAACTGAAGAAATAGTGGATGTTTATTGTAATGTCCATTTATTATATGCTCTGCTCTCTCTGCAAGCATTAACTTAGTAAGAAAAAAAAATACAATTAATATATAATATTTGACGATTTATTAATACATTGCTTTTCACCACATTTACATAATTTTATCGTGACATCTTCTTACTCATCTTCTCGTTAAAATAAATTAACCAGATTCGTTTACGAATCAAATATTCAAAGAACCAAAGAAAAGGAAAATTATGGTTATAAAACTATTAACTGTACTTACTGTCAGATATTCATCACTTTTTGGTACCACTCCGATGTTGTCACGGAAATCATACCCTTCTGATGGCGCTAGAAAAAGAAAACATAAAGATGGGTTAACTGAACCTCTGAATAAAAACCATCTAGTGCTTCTCGGCCAATCAGAATGCTCTATGACATGCTTACGGATCACGTGACATCAAAAATGAAACACTAACCAAGTTTCACTAGTACTGTGCTGATGAGAAACCACAAAAGCTGGGTAAAAACCAAAAGCTCACACTATAGGTAATGTGTCTGACACGTACACCGCCCATTGGGCTGGAACATGACGTCGATCCTTAGTCTTTGGACTGTATGATTTTTTTCAATTAGATCATTATGCAGACAAATATGATAAATATCAACTTTCATGCACACACTTGCACTGCGTTCATGCATTGCGTAATCAACGTTCTAGAATTATTTAAGTATATTTCTTTTCTTTTTTTTGTAAAATAGTTTCATGATCCCCTTTCTCATTACGAATTTCGTAACTGTGTTGTTGATTTGACTAAATGCCTTCAAAACTTTGCGAATTGACACAAAATGTACATTTATGGATGGTTTGGACGGGTTTTGAGTCAGAAAAGTCCCACGTATTCTTCTGATAAAATACCCTGAGGTCTGGATGATTTATGAGGGCCTTATCCTATTCTAAAAGCTTCATGCCGGGTGACCACCAGCATAAATTTATTGAAACACACTAACAAATGTGAAGAGCATTCGTGGTACGGAGAAGCATTGCCACGCTCTATATTCTCTCTGTTTGGGTAGTAAAGTTTACATCAGTTGATTTACATTCCCTACTTACATAATACTCCATTCATTTTATCATAGTGGCCGACTCCCAATGTCCATAGACCATAGTGCGAGTCAAAGCCACGACTGGTTGGTAGATACTCTTCCTTACAGAACCCTAAGTGCCATCTATAAATAAAAACCACCAGCGTTTAATTTTGTTATTTATTAACACTATTGGTTGTATGTTGGCGATATACACCGTCGTTGCGTGTGGTCAATAGTGCATGTTAGAGCAGCAGCAACACGCAACGAAAGTTCTGGGGTCGCCCTATTTAGTATTTTGAGTCATGTTATTGTTTTTTAGTGGTCCAGACCGACATTTCATAAAACTGATGGGCGGAATGTTCGAAAATTATAATGTTAACTGATGCAATTTCGATTGAGGATTTGGTTTTGAGGCCATAATGTTTCATTGAAAAAACAAAAACAAGTATGTCTGTTTCGCATAGTATCTTTTGATTATATGAGTTTAGGTTATCTGACAAATGGTTATGTATCATTGAGCCACTAATATGGAAGAAACTTTGTTGGTCACGTGACTTTTACTCACGCGAGGTTTACTAAACAAATCTCATTGGGGCGAATGTAAATTCATGTTCTAGTACAACATTCAATTGTTTTTTAAACTAAAATATAAACTCAACCTAATGAATATTTTTTCCGGTCTACTTACTTCCCAACCATATGAGTAAAATACCCAACTTCTTTCAGTTTTTCTGGTAATAGCTTGAATTCCAATGGAACTCCACTAGGATGGAGGTTGAAGATCATTTGATGCTGTTAATAAACATAAACAAAACATTTCTGATTTTATTTTTTAACTAATTTGAGTAATTGATTTTAAATAATTTTAAGAATTAATTTTAAAACCATTTATAGAAAAAATAACCCAATGCTATCACTCAGGCTGGTGCCAGGATGAGTTCCCATAGTAACAATAGTTCTTACCTGATTTCCTGTTCTAAACGGATACATTCCCGTCATCATAGCAGCTCTTGATCTGAAGAATATGATATAAATATATTTAGTATAATAATTCATATATATAGTATACTGCAAATACAGAGAAATATGAGTTATTATAAATTATATTATAAATTTGAGTTTATTTGCACGGGATTTACAGTTCAAGCAAGGCACTGGAATACATGCTATCATATAGATACACATCTTGGTATTGAACTTAGCTGAATAAATTCTAACTACATTCCATTCACAGTAACGATATTATCACTTACGGTGTACATGTAGGATGTGTATATGATTGGTTGAATATGACGCCATCAGCGGCGAGTTTACTCAAGACGGGCATCTTGATATCCGGGTTGTGCCATTCCACGTCATTCCACCCAAGGTCATCCACGAATATTAGAACAATGTGCGGTTGTTCTGATAAACAAAAAATGAATTTAATTTAAAGGAGTGACATTAAAACAAGAAGCAACTTGTATATAGTATGAATGGACGACCATAAACGGCACACATGTGGAATTTTTTTCTGCCATATATTTTCCATAACCTAATCTCAAATAATGCCTTGAAACACATAGCTCCATCCTATATTTCCGAAAATATATACATTGCTATAGTGATATGGCTAATAAGTGTCGTCCAAACGTCCACTAATTATAAATATGTTTCTATTTCTCATGGCAACCTTGATATAAAAATAGGAGTTTTAATAGACAAAACAAAATAAGACATACATACACTTTAGAGGGCAATACAAATATTTTATTATTCAAATGTCTGTCCCTCTCCCATTTACAGAAATGCAGTATCCGATCCTGGAGTATAAACACCAGAATGTAACCGATATAATTACAGGTATATTCCGAACATACACAAACAGGTACATGGCCCTCTAATTATTCTTAATAATGTAGTTCCCGCCCTTTTCTTGTGTGTTTACTGTAATCAGCATTATGTAGTCACACGTGATCCCACTTTGCATATGACCTTGTATAACAATAAGCAGTATATTAAAGTACACAGAACTTAATCAACCTTGAAATCTAATCATATCTCATTGGGAACATATATATATATAATTTGGAAAGCTACCTTCCTATTGAAATATAATGCTAAACTTTAGCCTTTTACTTGTTGAGGTAGGGATTCACTTGTACGACTGTATTCAATGAAATGACGTCACTTTCCAAGTAAATACAACACACGATGAACAGTCAACACATACATACAGCATTGCATGCAACTTCTATCCGTGCTCTGTTCATGCTGGCGCAGATAACAAAGGATATCAATATTTCTTAAATTTGAAAAAAAAAATGCTTACCTGCTTTAGCAATACATGGCTGTAATATAAAATAAATCAAAATGTATGTTAAAAGTTACAAATCCAACATCGTTTTATTACATGGCTAACTATAGTAATATATTCTCCACCGATTCAAGGAGTCTTAACATGTCAAATTTCAAATGTATCGTGGAAAACACAATCATAATATATGTTTTTGTATTTTCGTTTGGTTTGCTATTCACTTTTATGCAATGTAAGTATTTTCAGAAAATCCTTTGTGTCTGAATAATGCAATCTTGGGAAACAGTTCGGAGGCCAACCTATAACCTGCCTTCGGTACGCCGGTCACAAACTGATGATTGTAGTTAATTTGTTAATACCGACAGCTAATGTGATCCTTCTATTTGCGTGACAGAAAGTCATATTTGGCAATTGTAGAAAACGTAATTTGCAATGTTATAGTTTTGTTTTCACCGATTTCTAAAAATTTCTGAAACGAGATGAAAACTAGGATTATGTTTTGTAATATTTTATTCAAATATTGCCAACAAGTGATTGACTATGACTGAACAACATTTTGACATTGCGCAAGTTAATTCACATAATGTCACTATATTAGATAATCAGACAAATGGATCTTGCAAACGAGATATACATTTTGTTATAATACTGGGCACATACAATCAACTGAACAATACTGTTGTCCCAATACATAAATTGCATGCCAGGTAGAAAGCATACACTGAGTTGAACTGACTGCGTGACATGAAAAAAAAACATATTTGTCCCAATTAATTAGTGTAGAGTAAACATACAAACAAACAAGACATTTGTCGTGTTTTTAAAGTTCACGTTTGTTGCTTACCTTGCTAATGTATGGCAGTGCCAGAACAACAAATACGAAATAAAGACAATACATTATGACTGCTCCAAGCTGTTTATCAATCCCATCGTATTTGTACTAAATATATATATATACTCATCGGTGCCGTGTGTGTGGTATTAGTATCTCGTATATCGGTATGCAAAAATAATATCAGTCAATATTTATTCATCCGGTCGTAGGAGAGTAATACACAATTGCTGGTCCCTTTAGACACGAAAATAAAGTACTTAATTGAGAGCAATAATAAATCACCTTTTTACAGATGTTGGTATTTATACCCACCTAACATCTCTAGTTTATAGCAGGCATGTGTTTTACACAGAAACTGTAAACCCCTAACCGCTGTACCAAAATGAAATAATTGATATATCATATTAATCGTGGTTAACAAAGTTGACAACATTGGGAGGCGTAAATTTTGAGATTGGCATCCTCCGAAGTCATGTAGTCTATAATATTGACACTTATCTGTGTGACAGGCAGGCCATATTTGACAATTTAAAACTACGTAATTAGCGATTATAATTTTTGTTTTTTGCGTAATGAAGACAGTGTTTATTAATGCTTCATTCGAATATGGAGAATAATTAATGGATAAAAAAAATATATTTTGAGACCGGCTATGTAACCTATGCTACTACCGCTGCAATTCATTTAAATAATGTCACTATATCAAGGTCACTTTATAAAGACGATGTCACGCGAACATGACTTCACATAAGTTACCAATAGTGAGACACACTACAGCCAAGGCTAAATTAAATTCTACTTTGTGCTTGTATGTTTCCACTGCAGTGAAATAAAAAAGAGACTGATTCGATTTTTTTCTATACTCAACAAACACTGTCTTTGTCAGTATATAGATTTTACACCACTATTAGAGTTTGTGTCAAGGCGATGCAAAAAACAACTTTTCTGCAGAGGCTGACGTACTTTTGCTCACCAAATATATAGATGGTTTGGACGATGAAGTTTTTTTCTAGAACTCTTCGTGGAATTCACCTGTCATCTCCTATGATGAATGACAATAATTTTTTGACAATAAACTCTTCGGAGTCGTGGGTTCTCCGTTACAGAACTAGGAGGAACATTTGATGAGAACAAAGGCGTATACAACGTTTATATACAAGTCCCAGAAAATCGAATACTTCATGACAACAAAGAGATTTGACTTGAAACATGAGATTTAATATAAATAAAATCCGACAAGGGAACATTGTCACGATGGTTAAGTGGCTTTCGGTGGTTTTTAAAACTATGTGGTCTGTCAAATTTCCTAGACGTCATAAAACCGTCTATGAGATAAATAAATTGGTGCGATTTCCAACGTGATGTGATGTAATGTAATGTAATGTAGTGTAAATGCAAAACGAGACTCCATAAGAGACTTCTCTTATGCAAAAATCTGCGTCAGATTTTCAAAGTTAGACGAACCAATCATGGGCGGGGCGGGGCGCTTTTTTAAGCGTCAAATCAAACCCTGAATCTACTGTAATAGTAATTAATGTTCACAAGGTATATGTGAACACTGATAGACGTTTATCCTGACTGTTATAAAGAGATAACTTGAGAATATTCAAATCATAATGGCTTTATATTAATAATGTATTAACTGGCTAACCCCTCAAACGAGATTCTTGTCACAAAAATACAGAAAGTATATGATAAATTAGAGTGAATGACCAAGTGTTCGGAATAAATAATTACTGAGTAGGGGCATATCATTACTATCATAATTATATTTTCAAAATGGATTGAACTTTCTAAATTTATCAATCACTGTTTTCGAATAAAATATTGTAAATACGTTGTTCTGTTATTTTATCGTTTGAGAAGCCGTTCTTTAGAAGTAATTTGGCAATTTTGTATGATTTGAGCGACACTTTCAAAGTCTTATAACAGTAGCAATTTTATAGGCAATTTAAAGCGCGTTCATTCCATTAGAGAACGATAAGGTGACAATGTCATGTGATCAATTCAGCGAGCATGTGATCATCGCTGGATACACGATATAACGGCAAATACCGTTAGGTTTAGCGACTTTCCTAACCGCTACGAAAGGATTTGTTCGTTCGGAGACTGTTTTTGTAAAAGCTACAGCTTTGATCGACAAACTGATCATTTACACAAACTTCCCTGACACCCTACGCGCTCACACTGTTAGGCCAGACTTTTATTATCCCTTGTTTCGCGAACCCGCCGAATGAACAGGAGCCGAAAATGAAATTTTATTTCAGCGTAATTTAACAAATCCAGGTCGCATTTTCGTGGGAGTATTATGATCAAAGTACCGAAGTCTCGCGCAGATGAGAAACCAGGTTATAATTTTATTTCATTTCTTCTCCGATCAATGATACCACTCACAATTCTTTGAGAATCACACAAATCTAATCTAAAAGAATTAATTTTTGTGCCGCCCTTCTAAAAAAATGCCTTATAAAAACTCGAGAAACAAGGAATAAAAAAAGTCTGGCCTTAGCGGGTAGAGTAAAACGCGCCAATGACATGGCATTAACCGACTACTTAAACGTCTCCGTATTTCATGTATTTGACATGAAAGTGATAAAATATATAAAATACAATGCCTTGATGTCGTTTGAACAATTCAATTATTTAATTAGCCAAGCGATCTTGTTATTCCATTAAAGACAAGTCGCTCTTCATTCCCTTACAGGACGGTATGACCCAAACCACCCTCTACGTCACTGTATATACTTGATTTGACATGGGAGCTATGGAATATATTTAATACAATATATTCGAACTGTTTGAACTATTTAAATTATTTAATTAGCCAAGCGATCTTGTCATTCCATTAGAGACAAGTCGCTCTTCATTCCTTTACAGGCCAGTGTGACCCAAACCAACCTCTACATCGCTGTATTTACTTGATTTGACATCATAGGAAGCTGCACATTAGTGTCCATAGCCAGACAGCATCTAACCGCTTTACAAAAAAATGTACAGAGACGAAATGTTTGATATATCATATTAATCGTCAACAAAGTTAACAACACCATTGGGAGTCTGTAATTGTTAAGGACATCATCCACCGAAGCCCATTTGTGTATAATATTACATGCATCATCTGTGTTACGGGCAGGCAATATTCAGCATGTATTTTATCATTCGAAAAGCCAGTCTTTAGAAGTATTTTTTTTTCAAATTCTCCTATGATTTGGGCGACAATTTCGGAGTGGTATACCAGTATCAATTTCGAGGCATCACATCAGTGCCCATAACCAGACAGCATCTGAACAATTTATAAGCAGCACCTCAAAAAGCAATTTCTTGGCAACATCTCAACAGTTTATAGACAATTAAGTTAATAATACATTGCGTGATGTGCAAGACAAAAGAATAAAATATTACTGTCATGTGATAAGTACTGGTACCTCGCCTTTGGATATATTGTATTGACGTGAAAACAATTAGTCCAGTTAAAAGACAGTTCAAGTATGGTGTTATTATCACGGGACAGCAGATAATCAGCGTCTCTTCTTGTTTGATGGGTTCATTTGCCGATTCTCAATCTCCGTTGTTCTAATGGTAGGATTGCTAAAGTGGTATCTCTTGAATAATTTTAACAATATGTCATTACTATGTGACCCATCAGTGGTCATTCCTATGTGGCCTATCAGTGGTCATTACTATGTGGCCCATCAGTGGTCATTCCTATGTGGCCCATCAGTGGTTATTCCTATGTGGCCCATCAGTGGTCATTCCTATGTGGCCCATCAGTGGTCATTCCTATGTGGCCCATCAGTGGTCATTCCTATGTGGCCCATCAGTGGTTATTCCTATGTGGCCCATCAGTGGTCATTCCTATGTGGCCCATCAGTGGTCATTCATATGTGGCCCATCAGTGGTCATTCCTATGTGGCCCATCAGTGGTTATTCCTATGTGGTCCATTAATGGTCATTCCTATGTGGCCCATCAGTGGTCATTCCTATGTGGCCCATCAGTGCTCATTCCTATGTGGCCCATCAGTGGTTATTCCTATGTGGCCCATCAGTGGTCATTCCTATGTGGCCCATCAGTGGTCATTCCTATGTGGCTCATTGGTGGTCTTTCCTATGTGGCTCATCAGTGGTCATTCCTATGTGGCCCATCAGTGGTCATTCCTATGTGGCCCATCAGTGGTCATTCCTATGTGGCCCATCAGTGGTTATTCCTATGTGGCCCATCAGTGGTCATTCCTATGTGGCCCATCAGTGGTCATTCCTATGTGGCCCATCAGTGGTCATTCATATGTGGCCCATCAGTGGTCATTCCTATGTGGCCCATCAGTGGTTATTCCTATGTGGCCCATCAGTGGTCATTCCTATGTGGCCCATCAGTGGTCATTCCTATGTGGCCCATCAGTGGTTATTCCTATGTGGCCCATCAGTGGTCATTCCTATGTGGCCCATCAGTGGTCATTCCAATGTGGCTCATTGGTGGTCTTTCCTATGTGGCTCATCAGTGGTCATTCCTATGTGGCCCATTGGTGGTCATTCCTATGTGGCCCACCAGTGGTCATTCCTATGTGGCCCATCAGTGGTCATTCATATGTAGCCCATTGGTGGTCATTCCTATGTGGCCCATCAGTGGTCATTCCTATGTGGCCCATCAGTGGTCATTCCTATGTGGCCCATCAGTGGTCATTCCTATGTGGCCCATCAGTGGTCATACCTATGTGGTCCATTAGTGGTCATTCATATGTGGCCCATCAGTGGTCATTCCTATGTGGCCCATCAGTGGTCATTCCTATGTGGCCCATCAGTGGTCATACCTATGTGGTCCATTAGTGGTCATTCATATGTGGCCCATCAGTGGTCATTCCTATGTGGCCCATCAGTGGTCATTCATATGTGGCCCATTGGTGGTCATTTCTATGTGGCCCATTGGTGGTCATTCCTATGTGACCAAAGCCTTAGGAAGCAAAAATTAGTTGATCCGGCCATCCATTGAGGGCCGTAGGCCCGAGGCTTATGATGACATGTGCCGAAGGACCACGTCTGCTAGGGGGACGTGCAGAAGTGGTCCGGCCATAGGCTCCGGCCTTGGTGGCCCATCAGTGGTCATTCATATGTGGCCCATCAGCGGTTATTCTATGTGGCCCATTA